CCCGAAGGACGTCTGTGATTGGAAAAAGCCAATGATACTTACGTTAGACGAGGAAAAAGTAAGCAGAGAAAGAGAGAGAGCCTTTGATGACGAGTGTCTATTGATTTTTAATGAAATACTATGTGTGAGCATTTTTATGGTTACTTAATTTAGCGCTAACGAATTGGCGACGAGGGATTAACAAGCAATCATGCGAATATCCAGTTGTATTACATGGAAGGGACTTGTTTACGCCAATGTTGAAGAACTCGAGAGTTTAATGTGACTTTGTATAGTTAGCGGCCGACTTCTTCTTCTTCTTCTTCTTCTTCTTCTTCTTCTTCTTCTTCTTCATCGTCTTCTGCTTCTTAGATTCTTATCGATTTTAAATCATCATTTAGTACGTTATTTATCCCTACGTAACCTTATCCTACGTCTAAATAATGAATTTTTGGGGACTTTCGATTTATTTAAATAGTTGGCCAATAAAGAATCGTATTTTATTAAATGCGTGCATACTAATCGCACCTGTACATCAATGACAATGAAAACGGTGATGTATGCAATTATCTCGTTAATAAATCTTCAAAAATGCCGTACGTAAGCTTTTACTACGTGACCTTCCCTAACTACTAAACACCTGACAAAATACTAATTGATTTAATATTAATGAATAATGAATATATAAATGATTGCATAATTATAAATTTCAATAACCTTTACATTGGTGGCGATGTAATTAGCAATACTTCATTTATGTTTCGATTGATAAAAATTCCTTCACGATTTTACGCACACGTAATTAATTTTGCTACAATAGTATAATTTAACTCGGCGAATAATCTGATTGGTTATTCTGTTTTCAAAATCTTTATAAATCTAGTAAAATGTATTTATTATCAATCTGCAACTATGAAATATTATTTAAAAATAACCCACCGTTTCAATTATCTTTTAAGACAATAAAATTAAAGAGAATACAAAAAAAAACAACATATTTCCCATTACAAAATCAAACTTACAAACTTTGCCTTAAATTCAAAAGGCACAAATTATCATAGAGTATATAGAGTATAAAATTATATGTAAATAATTAATTTTTTTAAACCAAATTAACTTAAAATGCCTTGCTGCGTTACAAATTAAAACTTATTGTTTCTTTGGGCTTTTTCCCCTTTATCTATACTCTCAATCTAAATTGGAGAAAAATAAAAATAAATCTATATTAGGGAGGAAGTAATTCATTGCAACAAAATTTTATTAACATTGATTACCCTTGAAGTGAATATTAATTCCTGTATTTTCTTCACATCTTCCAGGAATATTAAAATTAACAAGAAGATAAGAGTCAGATAAAACAAAGAGAAAACAAAAAAAAAACAAAAAAAAACAAGCCAGTGAATAATGCCTCTAATACAAATTCATAAAAGCAGTTTTGTCTATGACGCGTATGCAAAGGATTATCCTTTACGCTTAGTTTACTCGGTACGCTAGAAATGCTGTGCGTACTTCTAAGATAACAAAGCCTTAAACTGAGATGAGAAAAAGAAGTAGAATCGCGAAAATCGCGGTTGCACTGGTAATCACCACGCGATCTCTGCTTCAATCCTCTAGGGTCTCGGATTTATGACTGCAGGAGAAATCTTATACACCCACACACCCACACACCCACACACGCACACTCTGTCTCTCTCTCTCTCTCTCTCTCTCTCTCTCTCTCTCTCTCTCTCGTCATATTCAATTCCCTTTCCCACTGGGCTATGCGTCTTTTTTGCAATTCACACTATTGCTATGCTTTTCCGTTCATTTTCTCACTACATTTCTCATTACTCGCCGTTTAGCGAATGATAAAATGTACTGCTCGAGGTACATTCTGCTTTACCGATGTTTCCATTACGTAAGCTCGGCACAAGAGAAACATAAAGAAATTAGAGTTACGCGATAAACTGTCAGTTTGACTTATGCTTTTTCGCTAAGTAGATAACGCAAGCTGAAATTTATTGCAGAAGCATTAACGTATTTACCGAGAAGCAGATATAAAACAGTATATTCTTAAATATCTTGAAGATATTATAAATGAACGTTTGCGTGTGCAAATTGATGAGCAATTGATCCACTTAAAAAATATAATAAATGCGTTATGTTTTTCCGTATAATCTTAAGTACATTGAAAATTTTATACATGTCGTAATACATAAATTCACATTTATCTGCAATACAGAAAGCAAATTAATTCCAAGTCATTTGATACCAAAGAGATTACATTCTATAAATTGAGATACTGTAAATTCTAAATATAGTCTCTTATCAGAGTACGCGAAGCTCCTGAACTTGCTGCCACTTATTTCGTGCGATGAATTAGATACGCAATTGTGCGATACACCAAATATCAAAACCTAGCGGGAACAAGTAAAACGAATTTTTACAACAAATTGCAAAACTTCTTTGTTGAGCTTAAGCATGCGCGTCGATAATTACGAACTTTTATCTTTTATCAATAATGAATGTCAGACAAGTAGCATAGGTTAAATTTCGAGTCGTATTTCATTTATCGTGAAATTCTTAAAATCCCCTTTCTTCCACAACTCTAAGAGTCGAAACTTTGGGACAAAGCGAGAAAAAGTTTTTATTATATAATACACTACTTATTGCTCTCATTTATTGCTTTTACAATAAGAAACAAAGAATTGATTGCCGGATGAATTTGTTTTGGCCTGCGCATCGCAACCTTCCTTGATGCTTCCTTCATCATCTCGCATCGGCTTCAAAATCGTCCTTTCCTTTCCTTTTAATGGGAAATGTCCCGTTTAACGCTCAGCAAAGCCTTAAGCATCGACAGTCTTCGGCAAGTGCGTCCGAATTCGCCGCGAACGGGACAAGCAATCAAGACAAATATGAAAAAATTCGCATTTTCCGGGGGGATCGAAGCGAAGCCAAGCGGCATGCAAAAGAAGAAGATGATGATGAAGACGAAGAAGAAGAAGAAGAAGAAGAAGAAGTGACAAAAAAAGAAGAAAAGGAAGAAGATGATGAAGAAGAAGAAGAAGAAGAAGAAAAAGAACAAGAAAAGAAAGGATGTAGGAAGGGATTGGGGGGGGGGGGTGAGCCTGGGAAGGGGGATAAAGAAAGAAACAAAGTACATATATCCCGTTCTACAGGCATTCGAACTATTTCTCCTGTTGCTCTATCTATCTCTTCCTCTCGGCCCTTTTTTTCTCGCCTGCAGCAGCCTCGTGCTCGTACCTCTTCCTTGTTCCTTCCTCATCCCTCCCATCCCCGCCCCTCCGACCACCTGCCCCTCGTTCACTCACTCTCACGCTCCGTCTCTCTTCCTCTCGATCTATGCGCGGCCGCAGCCCCGAAGCTCCGTAGAACCGTGAATCATTCTCACGGCTGCTGCCCGTGGGAAAATAGCGCAGCGGCCTGCGCCACTGGGCATCACAAATGCGACTGCTAATTACGCGAGCGAGAGAGATCGCAATGTCGCCCGGGCCCACCGCGGGATTTCGATACTTCGCTCCTTCGCTTCTCTTCTCTCTCAACCAGTCAATGCGTCCTTCCTTCATTCTTCTTTTTATCGCGTCGATACAAGCCGAAGCTCTCTATCGTGGCATTCTTAGCTGTGAGCTGACGCGAGTGAGACGTCGTCGCGAGGCTCGAAAAGTTCCGTCGAGATGATATTTTGATAATTAATCGGTGGCGAATTAATCGACGAGCGCCGCTACTTTTCCTCGGGAGACGGCCGCACGCCGATAAGTATCGGCTGACAGTATTTGAAGAGACAAGCCGACTATGGCGGGGGCGATTAATGCTAATGAATTTAATAAATTAAATTACACAGGGACTGGGAGGCTGCCGATCAAAATCATCAATCGTAAAAACGCTCTCGATACGCAGAAAAGTGGGAGGGAGTTACTTTCAAGTATAAATGATACGCTAATTACCACCTTGGGGAAGTTTAATTTTCACGGGAATTTTACGCGGTCGTTTATAATATATATATATGTGTGTGTGAGGAATACATCGGCATTGACTATTGCAATGGAGAAGAGGAAAGCGAAAATTAAAAGAAATAGCGCATATACTACGTAACATTTAAGAAATTTTCAATTCCATCTAAAGAGGTCGCTGCATTACCAATATTTATTCGTCCAAGCTTTTTTCTTCAATTAATTGCTGCTTTAGACTGGGAATGGATGTCCAAATTACACAAATACACTGGCTATTGCCATTGGAATTCGTTAGTTATAACGATGTTGCTTATGTGAGACAGCGTTGATGGACTAATTTTACCGCTCGTTCCCTAATTACCGTGACGATAGCCAAGCGTTTCAGCAACTACCCGCATGAACTCTTCTTCCCTTATAAAACTTGTAAATAATAAATCGATAAAAATCTTTATAAAAATAGTAGCCCAAGATGATTCATGAATAATATATGAATATAGAGGGAGATCATTAATTGTCAATAGAAGCAATTGTCGGAAAGCACACACGACGGTTCTCTGGCTCAATATCGACCAAAAAACAAAAGGCGAGAAAAAGAAAAGGAATGAGAGAGAGAGAGAAAGAGAGAGAGAGAGAGAGAGAGAGGGAGAGGGAGAAAACAACAGTCAGTCTGTGTAAATATATATGGCGCCGCTTATCCCACATATTTCTTACTTATTGCTATTTCTAAAAACGTTAAGACTCACCTTTAAGATGGTTTCCACCTCTGCAGTGCTATCGGCACTCAAATGCCGGGAACTCGATCCCTGAAATTCAGAGCAAGCAAATTAATTAATCATTTACCAAATAAAGCTATAACGTAATTATAAAAGCTGAAAGATAAACTTTAAAAAGCTTTTAGTTGAGATTCGATTATCAAATCCTCCTGGCAATCAATTATACTGAAAATGTAAATTTGCATTCTCGCTCTTTTAGCCCAACCAATATTCTTTTTAGCTCTGCTTTGTGTCTTTGGATAGTTGTGAACTTAGTATGGTTCTGAATGTTAAGCTTAGTCACATCTTGCATTTTTACAAAATGTATCTCATATTAATTTGTAATTAAATGCCGTAATAAATATAATAAATATGCATTAAGTCGAAATTGAAAAAAAAGTTTGGCCTCTACTTTTTGCGTACGCTAATCTCATTCATCTATATACAATCTTCCAAGCTTTTATACAAATACGAAATTACACACGGTCAACTTAGAAAATACTCGAGTTTATACTCGAATTACAGCTGGACCAACAAGTAAGAAAAATACAATTTTTTCGATGCCCAAGTACGCGTTTGACATGTTTAATGGAATTAACTCGCTTTCAAATCCCCGACGAGAAAGTTAAGATTATAAAATACGTATGAAACAGCTTCGACGAATCGGTCGGAAAACCGAAAACTTTATAAAATTAATGTGACTTTAACATTAGCTTTAAAAGATAATTCTGCTAAAGCTGCCTTATTATTGAATTGAGGATACCGAAAGGGGCTTGGCACAATTTTCTACCGGCGACTGCACCGCGAGTGTAGGGAGGCGGCTATGTGTATGTGTGACCTGACCTTGTTGCCAAACAATTGTCGCGTTCGGCCAGCACCGATTGTTTACGGCCCAAGAGTCTCCCGATTTCAAGTGAACTCACGCGCACTTCAAATACAAATCTTGAACTTCTTTGAAGAACAATGAGTATTATGCGATTGTCGCTGGATTATTTTTAGGCACTACAATAGCATTTTTTATAGAATACGCGATATATTAGTAGAGTGGGTGGAGGTTGAGAGATCCGAATTGCGTCAGAATAAAGTGACTCGAGTTGATTTTCTATTTTTTTTTTTCATTTTTTTTTACATTTTTATTTTTTTAACAAACGTTACACGGTCAATTAAATGCATCGGCAATTTATAAGGTAATTTAAGATACTTTAATTAACTAATCATCGTTAATAAGCCTCTCGATCTTTTCAATTCTCTCTCAAAAGTTCTCGTTTACGTTTTAACATGCGAATGTGCGCGCTCCATACAAATAACGTACAATTTTACTGTAAACGGTACGGTTAAGCCAATTCATCTTGTAATGCATCTTCCCTATTTACCGAAATGGCATGAAATTTATTATATAACAAGACGAAAGGGCATGTGAGATGAAGATATGAAAAATTGGGGGGAAAAAATTCAAAATTTATAAGCCGAAAATCAGGGTTAAATGACACGGTGAGTTTTTAAAAATTATCCTGATACTTCGATGCTTGTTATTTAATGTTAAGCAAATATGTTAAAATATATATATGACATTTTTTATATAAATTGGGGTTTATAAACACTTAACAGCCAAATTACGTATTAAACAGATTATATTTACCGAGGACGAGCTACCTGCCTCACTTCTTAAAACAAACGTACACTTTGCACGTGCTTACCTTATATTTGCATTTGTAAAAACCATATTTTTACATTATCCTATTGTCGTGCGCGTATGGGTTTCGAAGATGTTGATAATAATATTATTATGTGCTTGAAAAATGCTTTTATTTGCAAGATTCGTGTAATGGATTGTTATTTTCAATTTTGGTAAAAGATTGTCATTTGATTGAAATTTGATAGCACTCGCGTTATAGTGGAGCAGTGGTGGACAATAAAACGTGTGCATTTACAGTAATGGCAAAACAGTAAAGGTACAGACATTTACGAAAGGAATATAAGTAATTTGGATTTGAATTTGAGTCTGATTAAACAGTGACAGACTATTAGAAATGGCAGATTATTGAGATAAATTAGATAGGCACTAGGAGGTCGATTAATAATTTAATATAAAGAGAGAGAGAGAGAGAGAGAGAGAGAGAGAGACAAACAGAGAAGGACAACTTACGGCGTCAATGGGCAGCTTGGGCAACCTCACGCTGGCGGTGTGTAGCCTGTTCTGGATACCAGGTGCAGGTGGGGGTCCGACGGGCGTCGGTGTCGGAGGTCCCTTGGCCGGTATGAGGCCGTGACTCCGGTGTTCCCCGCTGCTGCCCCCGTGCTTCACCGGTTGTCCCGGATAACCGCCCCTGCCCCCGTACGGTGGCTTCCCGTCCGCGGGTTTGATGAAGCCGCCCCGCTGCGAGGAGGTGACGGAAGGTGCTGGTATCGGGGCTCCAGTCACGGAGGCTACCGACAAGGATGACGACGTCGTCGAAGATGACGATGTCGACGACGACGACGACGACGACGACGACGACGACGACGACGACGACGACGACGACGAGGACGACGAAGAGGACGAGGAAGAGGTAGAGGAGGAGCGTGGACCCCCGGGCTTCTTGAACTCTTGGGCGGAGGAGGGCGAACCACGACTGGAGGGCAGCCGCGGATGGCCCGAACTCACCGGAGCCGGGCTCGCGGGTACACCCTCAATGCCGATCAGCCTCTTGGGCTCATCCAGAAGGTGCTTCACCAGTGAGTAGTTGCCCAGCTTCGATTGGATCTGTTGGGTCGTGCGGTCGTGGGCGTCCGGGTTCACCTGAGGAACGTAATGAGGTCGACTAGCGTTAGTGCTCTGTTTAAAGAGTTTGTTGATTTTTCGCAATCGGCGCTTTCAATAGAGGCATGGTTAGAAAAATTCGAAGTCCGAATGAACAGCGTACAACGACAAAAAGAGTATTAAAGAGACAGAGAGAGAGAGAGAGAGAGAGAGAGAGAGAGATAGAGAGAGAGAGACTCGCTCGCGTACGTACATAGACACGCGCGCATAGCAGCAGCAGCAGCAGCAGCAGCTGAGAGAGTGAGTCGGTGAGTGAGCTTAAAGGGGGAGGAAAATGACAAGTTATGACCAGCTATGAGACGCTATTTAATTCATCTACTCATCAATTTGAGAATCATTGGCTCGTATAGATCACTGTCTTCTCGCTCCCACTCATAGCTTTTCAACATCTCTCAAAAATATTATTTTCTCTTCGATTCTTTCAATACGAAGAACATGTTTTAATAATTGGAAAATTCAAGCTTTATGCCTATACTATAAGTACTATCCATTACTTTCACTCGAAAGTACGTTTTCCCATTTAATAGGCATTAATGCATTGAAATTTTTCAAAACAATGATTTATTTACGCCCAATGAATACATATTAACAATCGTTCATATTATTTATATGTGCATAAAGCTGACAATATAAGACAATATAAACTCGATAGTTTTAGTTAATTATTAAAATAAATAGGATATTCGAGTTTGTGATATATGCTCGGATTTATATATGCGATGTAAATATATGCGCATCGAGGTATTTCATTCAATGAATATAAAAGTGAGAAAATAAATCCTTTCTTAAACAGTAGAGCATGTTGTATATTGCCAACGACCTCGTTCGAAGAATAAAATTCCAGCAGACCTTAATTTTGCATACAACGTATTTTGTAGGATGCGAAAATTTTAACTAAATTTTCGGCCACGTTATTCATTATATGAATTTAAGGTAAAATTTAAAAAAAAATGTATTTACATATATATATGAATTCGTCACTTTAATGAGCTTTACACGCAAACGTGGATTTTCAAGGAAAGACCTTGGATCTCGATAGTCAACACTCAATTATGTCGTTTCAATGCTTATAAAACGAATGCATTGGCTGACTATTAAATATAAATTCGTTAATTTAATTTAAATATTTTTTTAACAATTTCTTTTAATATCGTGTCTTTATAAAACCACTATCATCGTTTATGGTCTAAGCGTGCTGCCTTCTTATATTATGTAAAATCCAGAGATTATTCTAGCTTAAGATAAAAGAATAAACGAGACAGAAAATAATGAATAGAACGATGTTAAAGGTGTATAAAATTTCTAAATAACAACAGAATATTATACTTTTTTTTTTTAAATAATAATTTATAGCATAAATTATAATTCCTGCAGGAATGATTGACGATTATATATTATTCAGTTCATCGACGACTTTTTTTTTTTTTTTATTAGAATAGATTTTGCATAAATCATAGAAAAATATAAAATTAGCAACAATTGACTTCTCTACTTGGCGTGAAAAATTTTTTTAATACGACTAATATAAATCAATAGAGTAAACCATCTACTTTTTCATTCAAATTATTTTAGTTGATGGCTTTATCGCTTCCGCTTTCCGTCAAGTTAATAAACGTTTTTTTTTCTTTTTTCTGTTTTCTTTCTTTTTTTCTTTTTTTTTTTTTTTTTTAATTACTTTTCTTTCCTTTAAAAATATATATATATATAGATTTTTTTCTGTGCTTTTCAGTATTTATTTTAAAAAGCCTGGATGTTGGAGGTAGAGAATATTTATACGCATTGCAACATCCATTAATGTGAATTGATGTATATTAAATTGCTAAAAATGGTAAAACTACACTATGAATGTGAAGAGGCGGCGACTATTGTCATTTTTTTTCTGCTTCGATTGAATACCCTCGATTTAAAGAAAAGTTTAAAAAAAAACTCGATTTTCGAATATACGAGGATAACAAGATTAATTACCAATAAAGTTTACGTTATTAATTTCTGAAATGAAAATTAATCGTAATTGCGACTTTGTTACCGTCGTTAAACTTATTATAATATAATCGATAAGTATATTGTTTTATTTTGTTTTGTTTTGTTTTGTTTTCTTTTGGTTTCATTTGTTTGTTTGTTTTTCAGCTTAATATACCAATAGATCGACTGCATGGTAAATATTTAATGTACAATATGATAATAAAATATGATACACTCGATATCCGATAAAGAGCTTAACCGTCGAACTTGCCTTAATTTAAATTTGAAATAATTGTTCGCATATCCTAGAAGAAGAGGATACTTTCTTTTGAAGCTGAGGCAGCATTAACCGGCGACGACGAGTACGATCATACTTTTCTCTCAGGTTCGACTAAAAATCTTATTATTCTCAAGCAGTAAGAAGTATTCATTCTCCCGGGCGAGTAGGAGAGAAAAAAGAAAAAAGAAAAGTCCACAATCGTATAAACAAATTCACAAGCAGGGCCGAAAAGCGACGGAAAAATAAAGAGAAAGGCTGGAGGAGAGGAGAGGAGCGCTCTCATTTGCCTACAAATTTTTCAGCCACCCGACGCTCGTAAGAAACTCCGAACGAGGAAGGACGCGAAGCGAACGGGAGAGAGTGAGAGAGCCAGATAGATAGAGTAGAGGATGGGTGGGGGAGGACGAGGAGGAGGAATATTATGCAAATGAGCGGCGCGAACGTGAGGGGCAAATGAAGAAGCCACCGACAGACGCAGGCACGAGCGGAAGGAGAAGCGAGCGCGCGACATCAGAAGCACGTAGGAAAGGGAAAAGCAAGAGCCTCGACTTCCGGCGTTGCTACTCCCGCTCCTGTACCTTAATTACAGCGAGTGAGCACTCGATCGATTTGGACTTTGGTACCGGGACTCGCTAAGTCCTCGCCGAGCTTCTAAATTTTTCGCCAGTCGACCTGACGTTTTATTAACAAAGACCTGCCCCCATCTCTCACTCTCTCTCTCTCTCTCTCTCTCTCTTTAATGCCATGCAGAGCTCCGGAATTGCCATTCCAAAAGGTCATTCCGCGGCGATTGAATCCCCAAGGACATGGCCAGAGGTGGGAATGCTACACGCGCAAGATCGATTCGACGTTGATTCGCCCGATGTGTCGCCTCGACCGCCTCTCGCGTACATACGCCGAACAAATGCTCGTCTCGCTGTCGTTACGTAAGTCGTTCCTTTTAATGCTCGAGCTCGTACACATGCATACTCGCTTTATTCCGCGTCATTTAAGAGAAGGAATTGGAATTCGGTGGGCCTGATTCAAACTGCTGATCGATGCAGTCGATTAATCGTAAGTAATTGGACCGAGGCAATTCCGCACTTCGTATATACCATTTTCGCGATTAAATGACAAATTGACAAGTACCCGCTATTGAAAATGTAGCGTTAGTTACATAGGTTGGGGGGAAGGGGGGGGGTGTAAAAAATATGCATTATCTTTGCTAGTTGACGATGACTAGCGCGAATTGTTAAGAATATTTTAGAGATTATGAGTGGATTTTGTACGTATCTCTGCATGTTTGCGGCTCGTGTAGAGTTTGACATTCAGAGGTGACGCCCCAAACGGTACGTCAAAAATCAGAAAAAAACATCGACGCATAATGTTCGATTGATTTCTGAGATTCTGGGAAAATGTTCTCACAAACATTAACACAATGAATAATGACGATAAACAATTATTTTTCAAACTTTGCGATTGAAATACTACGAGTATAAGGGGGCATGCTGCGTTTCATTTAAGGAATTTAGCGAGAGAAGAGGCAATAGGATAATAACTGTTGAACGGCCAATTTAATGGAAGGTTTCACTTATAAAAATAAAAATAATCTAAAATCACAAGTGTGTAGTTAGTTGTTCTGGTTGCAGACCATTTATACAGGAAAGTAGGAGCGAAAATGGCCATAATTAAAGCTCAAGTACAATCACGCTTAGGAAATAAAGTAAATAAAATTGAGAGAATTGGAAAGAAAAAACTTGTTACACGGGTTCACTTTCGCACAAAGAATGGAAAGGAGATTCGAGATGGGAGAAAGTGGGAGCATATTGTAGGGGAAGAGGAAAGCTGCAAGATTGCACTCATCTGCGATTATTTTTCGCGACGTCCTCACTTTTTTCATTCAACCCCTATCTTACATTTTTTTACCCATTCACACCAGACGTGTATATAACCCCCCCCCCCTCACTGCCACCACCGCTCACCGCCGAGGCATTTATATAGACGTATAAACGATAAGGAGGACACAGAGTTTGAGATATCGACGCGATTCCAGTCACGAGCGAGACTCCGACGAATGTCTTTAAACGTGAAAATAATCGAATTTCCTCTTCTCTTTATAGTGTGCTCTTTTCATTTTTTTTCTCCAACAAACCAATAAGTGATAATTTTATTAGTATCGCTGCCTTGAAATTACTAAGAATACTATTTACTGTGTAAGAATGAAAATGGGGGAAATAAAATGAAAAGATAACTCAAGTTTTATTATGCGTTATCGACTATTTAATTTTCCAAGCTACTCACAATTAAATGTGTAATACACAAAAATTCGTGGATTTATGTTCAATTAAATATTAACATTAAAAATACACATTACATAGATAGATGATAATGATTTATTTTTATATAATAATTAACTCATAAAAATTAGAGCTTAAACTTTATTAGTTAAATTAATTTTTGATGGACTAGATACGAGATGGAAATTCGTGCGAAATATTTATCATAAGAATATATTATCGCATTATGAAGAGTTTCCGAATTTGATTCGACGAATAACAAAATGAGCTCGCAGCTTCGTAATAATAACAATCAATTATGTTCTCGATCAAAAATATATTTTAAGAACATTATAAATACATAATTATCGTTGCACCGCGGCAAATAAACAAAAAGTCTTTCACGTTAGTCAAAATTACGCCATAAAAACATTAATAAAGGAAAATAGTTTTAAAAATATTCCTCCAGCATAATGAATGGTTAATTTATAAAATACGCATTTATCATTAGAATTAGA